TCTACTAGAGGATAAGCTTCATGAACCCAGTGATGACTAAGAACTTCAGCACAAGGACAAATGATGAGCATTTCAAACATACAAATGTGCATAGTAGACTCAAAGTGGGGATGAAAGTCTTGGGGCACTAATGTACAAATGTTATATATTGTGACAACATAAAAATAATGCAACTAAAAAATAAAAGAACCTCAGCCTGCCTCAATTCTCTGGGGTAGTCCCTGAAGCATTCCGAGTTTTCCACTGCACTGTAGAGCCTACAGCTTCCTAACAGAACCAAGTCCTTTGTCACAGAGCTCCTACGGCAGTGACAAGGAGATGAGTGCAGCTTTGCAATGGGCCATTCCTTGTAAGTTGAGGGCTCATTAGATTCATGCCCTTCTAGTTCTGCCCTGCTGAATAAACAGAAGCAGGTGGTTGCAGAAGCTTCTTGCCAGAAAACATTGCAAGATGCTTCCAAACAAAGCCTGTGCCTCAGATGAAAGGTTGGGGCCATCTCTGAGGTCTCCACTTCACAGGGGTCTGTGGATATCTACATCTGCTGCCTTGGCCCCAGCTCCATGTCTCAGCAGGGAACGATAACGGTTTGTGTGTGTGTGTGTGTGTGTGTGTGTGTGACGTCTTTATCAGATCGGCTGAAATATCACCTGAGCAATCAGGGCAAGACAGTAAATGCTCACAATGGAAACAAAATTACAGAGACTCTGAAAGACGGAAGTTGACACTTGAAATCACCAACGCCAACAGAGTCACTCTGTGGGAGTGGGTTGGTGATGGGGACCCTTGACAAGGAGAAAGCAGCCTGCCTTTGTTGTTGTTATGTGCCGTCGAGTCGGCCCCGACTCATAGCGACCCCTCCTTGGGTTTCTGAGGCAGTATCACTACGGAAGTAGGATTGCCCAACCTTCCTTCCGAGGAGTGGCTTGTGGGTTTGAACCGCCAGCCTTCTGGTTAGCAGTCAAGTGCTTTAGCCACTATGCTACCAGAGCTCCTCCCACAAGTGAGCTTCAGGAAGACCACACTCTGAATGTGCTCAGGGGGCATGAAGATCCACACTCAGGGCAACAATGAAAACTCCAAATGGAAGGGACTGATGGACTTGCTTCCGAAGAGAGACTGTGACCTTGTTACTCCTCCCATCAGAAAATTTCTGGGCGCCAATGAGCGAGCCGAGGACAGCCTGATGCTGAGGGAACCTTGGAGAACACATCCATGAAGGGCCACCATTCCACCCAGCCTTGCACCCTGTGCACCATTTTTAGTCTAGGGGATGCCACAGTTGAACACGATAACCACGTCATACCATTTACTGTAATATTGCCACACTGCATTTACACAGTCAGAGAACTTCATTTGAAAGGACCCCAGGAGTCATCTGGTCCCAATCTCTCACTTTCAGTTGAGGAAACTGAAGCCCAGGGTGGGTGAATGACTTGCTGAAGTTGCATATTAATCAGTAGGAATGCCAACATTAGCACCCAGCTCTTCTGATGACAAGACACTGGTCTGGGTTGACCAGAAAAGGGAACATACACTTCGCAACACTTTATACACACAACTGACTGGTACAATAAGGAACCAACAGGGACAGAGTATTTTGGAAGTCAAAATGTCCTTGAGGGTCAAAATGACTTGTTTTTGCCATCTTACGTTTCTGCCGGTCATTAGAAGAAGCCACTTGGCACACAGGCCTCCCAGCAAGAGCATGTCATGAGTACAGAGGAACAGCACAGGAGAAGGGGCGGGGCACTGGTAGGACGGAGGTGTCCTGGATGCCAGTCCTGTGTCTGCCCCTGACCTACGGGGAGACTTCAGGTGTGTCCCTTCTTCTCTGCTCCTCAGTTGTCCTACCTGTAAAGTGGTGAGGCTGGCAGGAGTCCACTTCCTTGCTAATGTCTTACAAGTGCTTGCTTATCTTCATGGACACTGGCAGACCCCAGCAAACAAGCCCCAATGTAGCAGCCAGGTGCACTGACCATGCCCCTGATAAGCCATGTAAACACAAACTCAAGTTCAGGAAGCATGTTCTGGAGTCTCTGGTACTTAGTTGGCCACAGACATCTGAAGGCTGGCATGTGTGTGTGTGTGTGTGTGTGTGTGTGTGTGTGTGTGTGTAAGTTGGCTTGTGGCCAGATCACAATAGAGATGCTTTACTCAGCAATGGGCCCCATACTCCCTCGAGTGTTCCCCAGGATCAAGTGCAAGGGCCAGGCCTACAGTGAGGCAAAGAAGGCCCTAGCCTCAGGTACAGGACTGAAGGGGAAGCCAAACTAACTGAGTGACCAAGGTAAGTAATATTACAATGCTACATTTAAACAAACAAACTGAATGCAAACTATCTATGGTGAACAAAATTTCAAATTTTAAATGAAGCCAGGATCCAAAGGGCTAGGTTTACGGTGAGGTGAAGTAATCATGTAAGGGCAGGGCCATGTCCTGTTTTATTTAAAATGTTGATATTTTACTCAACATTAATTTTTTTTTTTTTTGCGTTAATTTTGACTTTGAAAATAGTGCACTGAAATATTGTTTGTCTTGATTACTGGGGTTTTTGGCATCCCATTAACTTTTGCCCCTAGTCTCAGCCCTGGACCTGTGTGTTACAAATGGAGGCATTAGGACTATTTAGTTTGGAGAAGGCCTTTCTCTGGGGATGTGGCCATTGCTCCCAAATCTATGAGGGCTACTTAGGACAGAGGGACCAACAGGACCTACATGGGCCCAGAGGGACCAGTAGGGAATTAAGGGAGAAGTATCGAGAGCCCCCTGCTTTTGGAAGGATCTGAGAATCTGATGGGAGGCTGAGCATCATGACCCCCAGGGTAGCCCTAAGACCCTCTGCTCCAAGAGGCAAAGAGGCTGCAGGTTTCCCTGTGTGACTTCAGTCTTGTAACTGCAGGTCATGGAAGAGATGCTGCCTCTTGTCTCAAAGACCATGAAGACAGGGACCAGGTCTCCCACAATTCTGAGAGCTGCCAGGAGCCACGAGCTGGGCTTTGCCCTAATGGCCTGTCACCATCTTGGGAGCAGCCTTTGGGTTCCTCTCATGGTGTCTTGTGGACATATGCCACTTACCTGCTCAGATCTCATGTGTAACAACTGAAGTCTTCCTGAAGTCCCTCAGTTTACTCATTATTATGTCGTCATCATAGATTTTTTATTTAAACTTTGTTTTCCTCATATTTTATAGTATTTTTAGACTAAAACTACAGGGTATCCCTGGATCCTAGTATCTTTTAATAAATTAAAAATAACCTTAAAATAGCATTTATTGATATTTAATCAGTTGTTTCTCCTCATTAGTCAACATCTCTCTCTCTCTCTCTCTCTCTTTTTAAATATATTTGCTTTGATTTTGGTATGAAAACATCTTTCAACAATTTCTAACCAGGGGCTCAAGGCTCTTCCAGATACCAGCATGACCTAAGGTACTGTGCACAAAATGTGTCCTCAGGATTTAACAGCTTCCCCCGCCTTTTTTTGTGAAAAATCAATAAATAATTTGTGTGGGGTTGGCTCTGGTTGAGATTAAATAATGAGTAGAAGTTATATAGACACACGCATGTAAGTTTTACTTTATTAGACATATTTATACCATATGAAGGACACCTTTTTACTTTATTATGATGCTTATTTTTCGATGAAACTGGGTGTGTAAGACCCCTGGGGCGGGGTTTGAAATTTACAGTTTTCATGAACTCAGACAAGACAGTGAAGAAGTCTGTGTGATGCTGCAACAGTTTGCCTGGTGGTTTAATTGAGGGACAAATATTACGAGTTCATCGGGCTGTCAGATGTTCTCCAGGTTTCCACATGCTCCCTCTAGGGTCACTAACACCTGCCCTGTTTATCTCACAGGGCTGTTCTGAGGACCAGACAATGTGGTCTGTCTATAAGTATTTCAAAAGGACACCACTCTCCATCAGGGTAAGTAGAATTAAGATTCAGGGTGAAGACAGCCTTGTGAAGACTGCAACATCCATCTCTCAGTTTTGACAGCAGCTACTCTATACTGAACACCAACGTGCCAGGTACCACACTAGACCTGTTGTACAATCTGTCATCGACTCTCCTGATTACCCCAGAGGGGTATATTTTTACCCCATGAATACACAGATGAGGGGGCACACTACTGGCTCAGTAGAATTCCTACCTTCCAAATGGGAGGAGGTCTGGGTTCAATTCCTGGCTAATGCACCTCACATGCAACACCCCATCTGTCAGTGGAGACATGCATGTAGCTATGATCCTAGACAGGTTTCAGGGCAGCTTCCAGGCTAAGACGAGGAAGAAAGACTTGGCAATCTACTTTTGAAAATCAGCCAGTGCAACCTTATGGATCTCAACGATCCAGTCCACAGCTGAGCACGGGATGGCCCAGGACCAGGCAGTGTTTGTTCTGGTTTGAATGGGGTCGCCATAAGTCGGGTCCTACTTAACTGTGACTAACAACTACAACAAAGAGATGAGGAAACAGAGACTCAGAGAGCTCACGCTCAGGGCCACACAGCTAGTAAGTGGCAAAACTGGGGTTCAAGCTAGTCTGGTCTATAGTATGCTTCCCAAGATGTATGGCAGGGGTCTTTCCTTTCCTCCAGGATGTCAGGGGCATCAATGGCACTGAGAAGTGACATTCTGGGCCAGAGGAGCCTGGACTAAAGCTCTGACAGTGTCAGAAAGGCAATGCCTGTAGCTGGTGGCACAAAGGGCATGAATCACCCCTTCCTCATACACACAGCACCCTTATCTCCCCCCTTCCTTACACACACACAGTGTCCTTTCTTCTTTGGAGCCCCATCATTCCTTAGAGGAGCATGCAATGGAGAGCTCATTATTCCCACTTCACAGGCAAGAGAAAGGCTCAGGGAGGTCAAGTGATTTGTTCAAAGTCACAGAGCAAGGGCCAGAATGAGGTCTGTGCACTTTTCCCCAGTATCATCAGACAAAATGATCAAAGGACAAGACCCCAGGGGCTGCAATGGGCAGACTAAGGCACTGACCTTTCCCGAGATGGTCTTGATCTGCTTGGAGCTCAGAGGCTCGAAGTCCACGCCGATGTAGCCCTCCATGGCAGCAAGCAGGTTCTTACGGAGGCAGTGGGATGAGTTGGCTTCCGTGTGTACCTGCTCCCACCAGGAAGGCTCGTACCAGCCTGGGATGATCCACTGGTATTTGCTGCCATACATGTTCTCCTCGTACGCCTGCAACACATGGGTTGACCGAGAAGGCATCATAAGTCAAATGGTACCTTTGGTACCTCTCAAAGGATCCAAGTTGGTTTACGGGCAACAAGTACAATAAAATAATACATACTGAGTAAAACTTAAAACATAAGGGCTAAGGACAATATGAGTTATAATACAGTTTCGAGATGAGGTAACAGAACAGAATACAGATGAGCAGACCAAGGGTTTCAACGCTGTACCTAATGAAGCTGTGTATTTCACCATGAACTTCCTGGTGGCCCAAGAGAAAAGGGCAATGAGCTCTCATCTCAATGGGGAACATACTCCAGATTCTCCAGGGGAACAAAGGGTTCTCTTTTCTTTGGCCCTAAAAATAAAATGCCCCACAGGGAGTTGTATATGGGGGACATTATCAACTTAGCCAGCAGGGTATCAACAGCATGCCTGGAACAAGCAGGCTTCACAAGGCTGTTCTCCCACAGAGCTCCACCGCAAGCCAGGGTCATACCCTCACAACACAGTTCAGGGAGAGCAGCTTTGCAAGGGGCCGAGACAATTCCATTTAAGTCTGCAGTTTATGTAAGATGCCACTTGGCAAACTGAGCATTCTCTCTGCATCTTTATCCCCAGCGTGGCGTACATAAATCCCAGATCCTAAAAAAACTCTTACGATCATGTGCTTTACAGATATCTTACGTGGTTGTCATTCACATTCCCTGGGGGAGGTAGTTGGGAGAGAGTTTATACCGTCACTCTAGAGATGAGGAAACTGTAAATCATGGCAGGAAAGCAGTTTCTTCAAGGTCACACAGACAGGGAGAAAAGGAGACCTGGAATCTGGGCCTGCTGACTCCAAGCCCACAAAGACATGCTGCTGTTCACTGGTCTGCGAGAGACTGGTGGAACCCCCAAGACTGTGGCCCTCAGATACCCTTCAAAGCAGGAGCCAAGCTCACCCCGTGGCTCATCTTTCAGCCAAAGGACAGGGCTATCAAGTGAGCGATTAACACCAGGGAGCGATGCACTCCCTAGACAACCAAGGGCACAAGGTCAGAAGGCAGCATTGACCCAGGGACAGAGCTCAGGAGGCAGGAAGGGACAGGAAAGGAGGGGGAGGGGATGGTAACCACAGGGAGGAAGTGAGAAGAGTGTGGGGACTGTAATCAGCATCATGAATCAGAATGCGTACACATTGCTGAAAAGCAATTTTGCCTGTCAGCTCTCACCCAAATCAAATAAAAAGTCAGGAGAAAAGAAAACAGTAATGCCCTACCTAAAAAGAAACAGCTTATAGAAAGGTCTGAAAAACAAAACAAAGACATACTGCCTCCTTCCTGTTTAAACAAAAGAGTCACCACACTGGCCTAATGCACCTCGAGTTGACTTGACTTTTCACTGCAATTATTTTAAGTCAGAAAAACGATGTTTTTATTTACTATATATTTTTAAATTGTGATTTGGGTAAAAGTTTACAGAGCAAATTCACTTTCCATACAGCAG